GTTAACGGTTGGACTCGATGATCTTAAGGGTCTTTTCCAACCTTAACGATTCTATGATTCTGTGATTTTATAAATTCTGTTGCCACATGATACACTGCTGTATGCAGCAACCTGTTAATAGATGGGAATTAAGCAGTAGTTTATTTCTGGTAAATCACCATGAGGAAGCTCACTGTGTTCTGGTTTCCATTTTCCTGCAGCTTTCTTTACAGATTTCTTCACATTGGTGTTATGAGTGATGTCCATGTGACAGAACACCCAGCCAGGCTCGGCATCCTGTTGGATTACAGTGATGGCAGACTGTTGTTCTTCAATGCAGAGAGAGGACTGGTGCTGTTCGCCATCAAGCACAAATTTACTGATGCTGCTCACCCGACCTTTGCCCTGGAGAAGGCTGGAGCGCTTACCCTGTGCATGGGAATGCAGCTGCCAGAGTTTGTGAAGCACAGCTAATCCCCTGCTTCATATTTTCAGGAAAACTGACAATTACAGCATCAGGGGGCAGGGAGGGGAAGAGAGGTGCCAAGGAGGGATGTCTAGTATTCACTGATGACTGGTACATGCACAGCTCTCCCTCACATCTTCAATAATTGTAGTTAGTGCTCAGCCATGTAATCACCCTGAGCCTGGAGAGAAAATAGACTTCTTTAGATGGAGTGTGCACCTAGTGATATGCACAGCAGTACTTTTTTTGGGGGGGAAGGGGGAAGGTTTGTTAGATAGGACCATTAAGGGAGGGGAATGTACTTTCCCTGTGAAAATAATGACAGTACTAGCTGTCTTTTTAAAGTTGATGATGAGCCTGCATATGAAATAAATGCATCTCTCGCTGCAATACATGAAAGCCATCATTTAATCATTTGCCAGGACAGTCAGAGCCTGAATCCCAGATGATGTGTTTGAAAAATATGCAAAAATTTCAACAACTGAAACATTCTGCAGATTAATTTTTTGTGTTATTGTTTGTCAACTCTTTTCTTTAAATGCACAAATTAAGAAAACTTGGAAACTTAGAAGTCTGCATGTTTGCAAAATGAGTGAGTCCCAGACTAGTCTTCATATCAGTCATATAAAGTTTGAGTATGCAACACCTACTTAACCCTGCCCACACCAGACTAACAGACAGCTACCTGACTGCATCAGTAAATATCTGTACCTGTAAATAGGTGGTCATGAAACACATGTATGAGGAAACTTGATAGAAGCGATAAAAGTCTTCCCCTATGGTTTTTGTCCTCAATTTGTTGGGTAGGTAGTTTCAATGGTGAAGGGAAGGTTGTCACCTGGGACCTTAGTGAACAGTTAAATAGCCAGCGACCTTCTTGTGGATCACCCTTTTTCCATCACTGCTTTTTACCGTTGCACTTACAGATTTGATGCTTCTAATTTCAGGCTTGTGGACATTTTCCTGAGTCTGCCCTGCTCTCTCCTGTTATCTACACTAGCACTAGAATCACGTCAGTGAGGCGTAGTGTTTCAGGGCCATCGAAATAGGCAGGCTAAGCATCACTGATGCCAGTAGAGGAATAGGATGCTGATTTTCCCCCTTGACTTGTTCAAATTGTGTTTCCAAGCACTTCACATGTCCATGGTACGGCTGTTGTCTTGCCTGCCCCAAGGGCTGAACTCACAAACGCCAGTGGTGCTGAACTCCAGTGAGTGCTGGGGGGAAATTAATCTTAAGGAAGATGGGCAATGTTTTTCATGCTGTGCCTGCTCTGGAGATTACTGTCACAGGGGACTGTGCTGCCAGACTCATTTCTGAGCTCAGCTGAAGAGCTGTACTCCCCAAAGTAAAGCAGATTTCAGGAGTCTAATGGAGGGGCAGTATCAAAAAGTGTATTTACTGTTTATGTGAAAGATGGATAAATTATTTGGAGATGAAAATGTCACTTGAAGGAGCTTTGAATGTCTAAATCTGTTCTGCATTAAGCCATGCCAGATGAAGAAATGCCTAGAGAGAGCATCCTGGTTTGGAGGGATGGGACAAAGTACACACTAAACAAAAAACAATATACAAGAGTTAGTTAAGATTCTGTATAGGGAGAAAATTCATACTAGTGAGGAAAGCAGATCCTGAAAGCCACAATTAAGCTGCTAGGACTTATAACACATGGTGCACACTCTCCTGCCCTTGGAAAGATTAGAGGTACAACTGCTGTGATCTTTTATTTGCCTGATGGGCACGAAGTGGCACCAAGTTCAGGAATTCTCTTTCCAGAAAGTAACTGTCCACAAATGCTTGAATGTACAGTGCAGTCCATCTGACTTCCCATTCAGATGAATTGAGATTTTGAGGCTTGTTGCATCCTTTTTTTTCCGGCCATCGTAGTTTGTAACCATATACTAGAAGAGAAAGACAAAAACCTCCCAGTTACTGTATTTTTCTTGCACTTGATGAGTTTAGCATTTAGAAATACCTTAAAAACAGCATGACTTATTTTTCAGCAAAGGATTTTTGCTTGGCTGATAGTAATTAAGACTTCATACAAATGCTGACAGGTTTATGTAGTATATGTACACAGTCTGATCATCATTCCATGCTTAGAATTATATAACAATACATTTTAAGAGTTATACAAAGAACCGTAAAAGAGTTCACCGATAATTTGGGGTTTATTTTCATCCTGAAAGTACAAAAGCTGATGCCTAACACTGCAAGTATTGTTAATAAATATTTGCACTGATCTGAAACACATTGCATTAAAAGGAATCATTTTTTTTCACTTCAGTGGATTTTAGATTAGGCTCGTAAACCCTTGTGCACTGAGATGAGAATATAGGCCTGACTGTAAGAGAGAAACATTAATTTTTACTGTCAAAATAGTGCTGAACTGGAATATTGCTAGTATCAGTAGTATTGATCCACAAATCTCACTTAGGTCTTTCTGCTCCAGAAAGAGTTTAATGCTTCCATGCAACATCAGGTGGAGGAACTTAGCAATGCGTCTGTGAACCTCAGTGTGTGTGGTGTGCACGCATACATGCACAACTTTGCTCTTGCAATAGCTCTTTTTAAAAAGGGAAATGTCACTGAAATTTAAATGTGTACTGAAAATGGTCTAGTGACGCCTTATTTTAGAAATGCATACATTAAACCTCCTCCATACTACTATTGTGAAACTTTTAGTTACATGTTATCACTAAGCCTGTTGTAAGACATAGGCCCAGTAAGGCACAGTACTAATAAACTGTTGCTAAATCCACAGTACTGTGATATTGTCTGATATACACGTGTGAAATATGATTTCTATTATTAGCACTGCAGGGTTTTGACTATGTATGTAAAGATGGATTTAAGAATAACATGAAATTATGATCTTTCTGAACCATTCTCATTTCAGAATAATAAATAGGACCTCTGCCATGTTGAGGTTTAAATTGGATTTGAAAAATTACATTTTGTGATGGAATCACTATTACATTACTGTCATTTTGCTGATGGATTTACTAGCTCTCAAGAAGCTCAATATGCTCAGATAGATAGTCACACAACCAGCAAGGAAGTGAGAGCATCTCTTCCGCTTCCAGCCAAGTGCTGTGGAAGAGAGATTGAACTACAAAAGTACCTTCATTTTTTGTGTTGAGTTTGTCCAATTTTCTGCCATAGCGGAAAGTAGCATTTGATGACCAGGGACCACTCCACAGTGCAGTTCCTACAGGAGCACAACCTGGAAGGAAATGGAGCAGATCTCCACCCCAGACCCTGCAATGATTTTGTCAACAGTTAAAAAAAAATGCATAATTTCAAGTGCAGTTCCACTCTGGAAAATATTTGTGCAGAAAAGACACCTTTCTTTTCAGGACTTGTATTACAGAGACACTGTATTTCTAAATCATATTCTTCTCAACCCTGAAGAAACAGTTCTGCAAGCAGAGATGGAAGTAGCCCATAGCTTGTCATACACCATTAATGCAGTGGTCAGCTGAATTTCAACCTGCCAAACTGTTACTGTGCTACTGAGGAGTGAGAGATGGAGAGCTGGACCCCGGCCACAACAGGTACAGGAGAGAACTGGCTTCTGCTGAGCAAGCAAGAAGCTAGTGTGGCTTTTAATGCTGGGGCTGGCAAAGGAGACCTTTATCTGAGCATAACTTTTTATAACCCAGCCTTCTGAGATTGTAAAAGTCTCACATCACTTCATGAGCCTGGCTTAGAAGGCATGGTGCATATGTAGTCCCACAATGCTTATTTACATATGCACCATGAAGAAGAGAACTACATTTTGAAGTAAAATTAACAGAGATTATTTTACCTAATTCTGTAATTGTGTTTTAGATATATGTCTGCCCACTTTCTGCTATCTTAAAAAAAAAAAAAAAGAAAATTACTGAAAAATAATACTTGTAGAATGAAGTACAGCCTTCAGAAAAAAAGTAACAACTAAAATAAACTCTGAATACCTTGTAACAAGGGAGGGAGCTTTACATGCTGCTCCAGCAGCATCCACTGGTGGTAGTGGCCCACACTGGCTACTAGTATCATTCTTTTTCCCATGAAGGTTTGTTTTTTTCCTGAAACATGTATTAATAAAAATATTATGTGCAAGATGTGCAACTAGCAGTGTAAATAACTATTAAATGACTGCTAGTGCTTAGGAAATAATTTGTATCAGTATTTAATGTACAAAGTGAGGACTTTTTACTTTCAAAGCAAAGAACGTGTTGAGATAGGTAGAGAATTTTCTGTGGTTCAGTCACAGCAGAATTACACAGGAACAAATATTAATAGCCTACCCAGGTACAGAAAGGGCATTGCTCTCTAAAGTATAAAAGAAGATTTTGGAAGTTAAATCAGGGCATTTCTTGGGGGTTAAAAAAAGAGCCCATTGTGTCACTGAGCCCAAGTTCAAATTTGCATTTTTAGCTCAGGGCCATATACTTCTCTTATATGCTTCTCCATCAGAAATCGATGCTATGTTCTGCGATTGCAATGCAATCAGACAACTTTGCTGCATGGCACTGCAGTTGGTTTTGCACACATTCAGTAAGTTTAGTGGAGCCTGAATAGGTTGGGTTTGCTGATTACATGTGGCTCATTTGGGCAATTAAGGAGCAATAAATCAGACGACAGTTCCTCAAAAATGTGGGATTCCCAGGACACCTGCATATCCATGGTGGAGAAAGACCATCAGCTTTTCTTCCAGTTATTTTTCCAAGGCTGCTGGACCCTGGAAATCCTCACGGAAAGAGCACAACAGTAAGATTCCATCTGAACAGTATTTCTGCTGCAAGAAACATTCATGCTGGAAGAGCCTACTTTGGGCCTTAATCATGCCTGAAGTATATCTTCTGCTTGAGTTAACAGGACAAAGGTAGGTATGTTTGCACTTCATTGTTTTTGTTTAAAAATTACTGCCTTAGAATTTAAACTCAGCCCCTTGAAGATCACATTCAATTTACCAGAAAAAAAAAAGTCCTCTTCCCCAGTTACTCCACTGAGTACCATGGGG